CATGGCTACAAAGCAATGGGCCACAAGACAGTCAGATGGGGGCATTGCTGAGCGTGTGACTAAGGGAGCATCAGAGGCAGCTGCGAGGGTGAGTTACATAAGAAAGCTCACTACCAAGGTGTGTCAGAGGTAGAATAGTCAGGATATGATGACGATACAAAACAACAGAGAGGGAGGGAGAAGTGAAAAATAATCCCAGGACCCTAGTGAGTCCATGGGACAATCTGAAATTCTCATCAAGAATTTAATGAATGCTTCCTACATGTATACAGCATTAACTATTCTCATGCTTCTCAGGGAGAAGTTGGTAATTAATCACAGGACTCAAGACATGGTAACTTCATGTGTCTTCCATGTTTGTTTGTCACTTGCAGTTGTTCTGCTATTAATTTATAAAGGAAGAAAGACTAGCCCAGTGATGGCAGAGCTTTTAGAGATGCCTGCCCAAACTGCAGCCCCAAACCCACTTATTTATCACAAAGTGCCAGCAATGCAATTAAACCTAAATATCAAGGTTTTAGTTTAGAAAAAGCACCACATACTTTAATATCTTTCGTCATTAAAAAAAAATCATACTCATGTTACAGGTTCACTACCACTGCACGAGGCCCTGGGATTGTCTGTGATGACTGAAGCTTCCAGGAGGCAGGGTGAGCTCTTCTGGAACATGGATCACTTTTCCATGCCAGGAGGGAGCACAGAGCAACAAGACTCATTGGCAGTTAAATAAAACCCAATGGAAACCGTGAAAGTGAACATTTGCTCAGAATGTCTTCTCTTTGGAATTTAGACTAAGGAAAAAAAAAGATAACTAAGATATACAAGGATGAATTCTAAGATTTATTTTAAGGATACTCATTGCCAATTTGTTTATAGTTGTGAAAAGCTGGGAACAAGTATGACATACAAAATAGTTTCTAGTCTTAGAGGATTCATGACTAGGCCTGGCTCTGTGGCTGGTAAGTTCCACAGAGAGGGGGACAGGACAGAGATATCCCATGGACAGCAAGGCTCTTGAAGTCATGTACTGATCACCATGATCTTTTAGATTTGAGAATGAGTGCACCATGAAGCTGTGCATCTCTTTCTCCTTTCTCCCAGGCATTGCTAAGCTGAGTGCTTGCAGCTGGAGCAAGTAAGCATCTGTCTGGAATCCCCTTAAGACATCACCTCCAATCCCAGGAGGCTTTGCTCCATGTCTGAAACTCAAATATGTGCTGAATCACACTGTGCAAATAGCATTGGGTGGGAAGGGTAGTGAGGGGGGTCACAAAACTTCAGTTCCTTTATTTCTTGAGTTTTTATTTTTTGAGTATGTACTAGATTCATTTTCCTATGCTAAGCCACCAAGAAAGCCTGCTAAGTGAGGCATAATCCTTGCTGCATGTGGTAGACACTGAAGCTTGCCTACCTAAAAGCACTTCCTCTGCCTTTCTAACCAAACCCTGATTGCATTCTGGATTTCAATATATTCAGTTGCACAAACCTCGCTCCCAGCCTCTCTGTCTTTAAGGATATCCCTATGACACCATTTTGACTAAGGAGAGACAAGTGAAAGTCACTAAGTGCATTTTTCAGAAAAACTCTATAAAAGGAGCAGCATGGTGAATGATGGCATTATTACCAATCACGCCTACTGATTTTCTAGCCTGGGAGTTTGGTAGATGGTAAAGAAGTAATCACTTGATGATCATTGGCATCAAGCATGGGAAAAACAGTCACATGACAAAAGTGGCTGAGCAGAAATCTTGAAGGAAACTAGGTCCTTGATGATATTATAGTTGCAGTGACCATGGCTTCGTGTAACATTGTTCAAATCAGCCCTTGACTTGTCTAAGATACTCATTACTTGGGCTTTTGGTTACTTGAAGCTGAATACAATCTTAGCTATTATTTGACTCCATGACCTTTTTAGACAAATGACATGGCCCAATGTAATGGTCAGTTGTATGGACACAGCATGATTGGTCCGAAGTACAGAAGGACAGTCTGCTGTAGCTGGGGAGGGTACCACTGGGGAAGGACCTCTGATCAGGAGGGATTTGGCTGCTTGAGTTGGGTGCTAGATAGGGAGTTGTTCAACAATCAGGGAGAAACACTTATGGTCTTGCAGGTTACCTTGCACAGAACGTATGCAAGATAAGAGAAGTGAATAGCATGGCATGCTCAAGGAGCTATGATGACTTCATTTGCTTGGAGCAGAGGATGAATGTGGGATGAGGGGATGGGTGATACAGGAGAGGGTAAGTGCCAGCTTGAGAAGAGACTCATGGGACGGTGGGCAAGTCACTGGATCTGTTCACCTACACTTTCCTCAGCTGTTAAGGAGGTCACTGAGAGGAAGAGGTAGCTGTGAATAGGGGCTGCCTGCAAGGGACTCCTGGGATTCCCTGGCTAGAGGCTCTGCTCCTTTGTGGAAGTTTCCACAGGAAGCACCATCTCACCAGCCTCCTGCCCTTGGCTTCACACTGCATAGTGTACTTCAAGGACTGCGCTGTTGCTGGCATTTCAGTCTGAACGCTAAGTGGTGACTCAGAACCAACAGAAGTGTGGACAACTGTTTACTAAGAAGGCAGCCTTTGGTGTGACAAATTAGAGTGGGCTGATGGATTGTGCAGTGCTCATGAGCTGGACAGCTTGGAAATAGCACATACCATTGCACTGGGCAACTGATTCATTGCTTGTTCTGTCTTGCCAGGCAGGGAATCATATGCCCACCCAGTCAGACCCAAATTCTTCCAAGCCAAGGAAAGTGTTTTTCTTCCTAGACTGTGCTTCCAATACACTGGGATACTGCCCTGCATCCCTTGTTCCTACTAATTTCATTATATGGGAATACAGCACTTTCTTGAAACTATTCATACGTTTAGTTTAGTTAACCTCTTGGAGTCAAAAGACCATAGTCTGTAGAAAGGATCTCAATATTGTTTTTTCTTAGAATGTTAAAAACCAGCAAAAATAAATTGGTATCTATTGGGTACAAGGAAGCAAAAGGCCAGATACTGTAGGAGACATAGATGAGTAGGAAATGCTTCATGACCCTAAGCTTAGCCTAACACCCTTGAACTTACACCCTTGCCTAGGAGGCCACATGAACTGCATGATGGAAAGGCTGAATTTGAACCCGAGCTCTTGTACTGACAGCAGGTGCAACCTGGTCTGATTCTGAATCTGAACTTTTCCCAGCTTTGCTTCTTTGTCCATAACAGGAATGATAGTACCCAGGAATGTGCTAATCAGAGATAATATCAGCCTGAAATAGCTATAATATGTAGTAGAGAGTAACTGCCTAATAAACAATGACTATTCCTATCACTGTCAATGAAAGAGTTAAAGAATTAAAAGTAATTACAAAAAAAGTTTTGAATGGTAGTGCAAGAGAATTGCTGAATTGGTGGTTTAAGGTGTTAGGAACTTCCCAGCCCACACAATGTTCCTGTGATTCTCACAGCAAACCTGTGAGGAATATCCCCATTTACAGATGAGAAAACTGAGCACAGAAAGAAGTGAAATGGTTTAGAAATCTTCAGTAAAAGACAGAGCCCTGTGTGCTTTCTGAGAGGAACAGCTTCTTGCAAAGAGCCTAAAGGCTTTAGCTCAGAAAAGTGACAAATCAAGAAGCTGAAGAAAGCTGGGCAGACTTCAGAGGAGGAGATGGGTCTGAGCCCACCATGCACCTAGCTACTAATCATAAAGCACCTACTATTGGAAAAGGATTATTCTGAGACTCTTGGTGAGTCATATAGAGGAGGATTTGAAGGGCTCAGAAGGGAGAAAGGGAAGAAAGGGCATTGCAGTAGCAGGATGTGCGCCTAAACTCACTGCCTTTAATGTATTCGACTTGACCTCAGACAACTGGGAAGCCTAAAGAGCCACCACTCTTCTGCCTCCAGCATCCCTCTGTATCCTTCCATGTGCTTTTCTAAGACTTTTTTCTTTGTTTGTTTGCTCTAGTTTTTTGACTGCTCTGCCCTGGCATCATCTTGCCTCTAATTCACCAAAAGCCATCCCAGTCCATCCTCCAGGCCAACATTTTGTTCTAAGTACCAGGTCTGTAGGTAAGAGGCCCCGAGATGGCATTCTCCCCAAAGGCCCCATGATGACAACCTGAGCTGAGCTGGCCCCCACCCACTATCTCAGGGGAAAAAGCAATCAGACAAAGATGATGATACAGATGTGTGGAGAATGGTGGAATCTGCAGTGGGAATAGCCTGGTTTTGCCTATTGATTTATCCTCTCTCTCTCCTGTCTACCCCCGCATCTGTCTCTACAACTGCCAGTGTGTGTGTGTGTGTGTGTGTGTGTGTGTGTGTGTGTGTGTGGTAAAAATTTATTCCCCATATGATACTGGAAGCTTTAAAAGCATAGGTTTTGTCTCTTTTGTGCACCAGAAGAGGATTTTAGCTCAAAGTAGAACGTAAACACCAGCAGCCTATGAGGAAGCCCTTAATATAAATAGAGAGAGAGAGTCTGGGCAGAGACAGGCTTTGATGAAGCTGCCTGTAGGGTGGGAGGGAGACTCTAACGCTGGGTGTCAGGCTGATTCCCTAGTTCCACAAGGTAGGAAGAAACCATTATTCAGATTAAGGGGAAGGAGAAGTAAGAAGTGTTGAAAACTTCTTAGAGAAGACTCACAGGAAAAGAGGCCCTGCTGAAGAAATTTGGAAAAGGCCTTGGGAGAAGAAAAACATGTTTGACAGATCCTACAAGATTTTTGAGTACTGTGTCATACAATCTTCCTCAGCCAACCCTACAACCTCACTAGAAGCCCATTAATAAACCCTATTTCAATTGTGTTTGTGTGCAAGTAGAATTTTAATCAATGGATAGATGAGAACTCAAGAGGGAAAAGTGGTGACAGCTGACAGCCAGGCCCATCCATAGCTTGTGGGCTCTGATATAAACACATAGTTTCTCCTCACCTCCATCCCCAGTCCTGCCAGGGGCCACTGGTCAATGTCCTTGGAGAAGACTCATGGCCCAGTCTGGTTCTTCCAGTGTCTTTGTGCCCTATACTGTTCCAGTTAAGGGCTATTGTTCTTGTCTTATGTTGTTCTTTAGGGTCCTTGTTATCATTTGAAGTCATTAGATTCTGGCTCTGCTATGATTTGCCCTCAGGCATCCAAGAATTATCAATAAGATCAATGTTTAGGTGATTCTCCAAATATATTTCCAGAGGCAGTGGGCGTTAGTCTTATTACTTAACCTACAAATGGCTTCTTTCTCTAATAAAATGTCCTATGTCTTATTTCTAACTCCATTGCCTGAAATATTTGAAGAAGTGTATGTATCTTCACCTTTTATCAAAAAGAGTCCCTTCCTGATTGAGTTTCATCTGGAATCTGGATCCTCATTGTCTAATGCAATAAATCTTCCTGCTTCATACCCTGGCATGAATGGGAACATATATGAATGCTCCCATAGGAGAAGGGAACATTTTAATCATTCTAGGGCTTTAGACAGCTTTAGAATCTTCTTTAAAGAATTCCTGAATATCCCACCCATATGCCTTACAACATTTCTATATCCCCTGGGGCAGAGTACAAAATGATTATTGAATGTAGTCAGTCAAGTTCAAACTTAAGTTTGATTATATTGTTGAATTAACAGGTATCTAGACAAGGGTCCTATCCCTGATCTGTTATTCTTGCCCCCCCCATAACACACCCTCACATATGAGCAGTATTAATTTTTCTTCTGTCATGGGGGTGGGGAGATGAGGTTTGACAGGCTGCTGAGTAGCTTTTCCAGACAGGGAGTCCCTGGATCTAGGCACTGAGCCATCCTTCCCTGCTGTCCTGGGGAGCCTTTACAGAATCCTAGCTCCAGACTCTTCCACAAAACACAATCTTGCAGTGAGGAGAATGAAGTGGCTCCGGGGAAGCCACTTGGCCTTCTGAGAGTGGCTAAATAAAGTCTGTGCTGGAAGAAATGGAATGTCATCCACAGAAACACTACGGGCAAGACCTCTGAGTGTCTCCTTCCTGTGTCCAAACTTGTAAAAAATTTTTATTTTCTTCCTTCTGGAGTTACTTAAATGGGCTTCATTTTCCAAGTAGGCAGGCCCAGAGGACTCCTTTATTGGACTTGACTATTACATCGCCAGGACTCTGAGAGCCAGGGCAAAGGGTTAGCTTTGGCCTGGCAGAGTCTTACTAGCATGCTGCCAGTGGTGGAGTCACTGGCATGCACAGGAAGTCCAGAGCCTCACCCCAGGGTGAACTCAGTTGGTGGGTCAGTCTTCCTTCCTGAGCCCTAAAACTTTCTTGCCTTGCAGCTGACACAAAGCCTGAAGCACTGTCCATTCCAGCTGGTGACTTCAGCTTCAGTTCACCTAACTCCAGGGAATCATGCCGGTGAGGGGCATCTTCACAATCCACAGAAGCCCACTTACCTGCTAGAGAAACCAGATGGTTTATTAGGCTGGCTTCTGACAATTCCTGCTGAGGAAATCCATGCCTTTTCTCCTACCAGAAAATACTTCTTAGATTTGGGTCTTCTATATCCATTCTTTTTTGGTTTTTTTCCTTTCTTCCCTTAATTTCAGTATCATTTTTCATTTCTGAAGATTTAACAACCACAGTGCACTGTCACAATGCCAAATCATTCCAAGTCAACCACAGTCTTGGGTAAGCAGCTCTTCCCGAGAACTCATTGACAAGACCAATATTACGTAATTGTAGCTTGCACTGAGTATTTACCATCTGGCAGGTATACATGTTCTACTTGAGCTATCTCATTTAATTCTTGTAATTGAATTCTCATGAGTCATTGAAGTAAGGTTGCTGCATGAGACTGAGAAAGGTCACATGACTGGTAATTGATGGATTTGGAGCTCCATCCCCTGGTTTCTCTGATTCCTGAACTCCTGCTTTTATATCACTATTACAGCTAAAGCAACTGAAGGTACATTACTTGCCCAATAGACAGGTCGTACTTGACCTCCAAGGTAGTAGTTTTTAGTCTTGGTTATTCATTAGAATCACCTAAAGAGGTAAAACAGAAAAAAAAAAAAAAAAAGCAAAACCAGCTCTCCAACTGTGTCCTTAATGATTTTTATTTAATTGATCTGGGGAGAGGCCCAAACATTAGTATTTTTAGAAAGCATCCAGGGGATTCTAAAAATGCATCCAGATTTGAGAATCTGACAAATCCAACAACCCCCAGTCTAAAGCTTAACTAAACAAAATAAATGACATTTTCTCATAATTCCAAAGGAAGCAATTGGATGGACAGCTGGGTTCTCCCACCATACTTCAGGGAGAGTTGGAAAAGTCTGCACACCTGTAAATGATACCACACAGGAATCCTGGTTCCATCTGGGCATGTATAATGCTTATTCCAGGACAAAGTGCTCAGGGAATGATTGTGGTGGTGAAGACAGTTGTCAGAGTTAACATAGGGTAGAAGTTTTATAGACATTCCAAATCTTAGAGCCCAAAGACAGTAACTCATAATCAGCCAGAGGCAACTAGAACAAGTTTTGTCAAACATCAGCTCCTTGAAGCCAGTTCTGAACACACACACACACACACACACACACACACACACACACACACACTCCAGTACCTTCCAACCTATGTATGCATTCAGGAAGAGGCCCCCTCAGCAACATTCTGGGTGGATAAGCCATGATGATAGATAAGTGAGGCACGCTGGGGTTATCAGTGCAAATCATCATGGTTTGCACTGTCAGTCTGAGTGAGCAGAGGTTCATGGCAAGACTGCCCCCATCACGGAGGAAATGCAGAGAGGAATCTCTTACTGTGTGCTTGCTTAATCATTTCCACTTAACACACAGTGAAAGCAGAACTTTGTGACACACTTGCCCTGTCTGGGCAAAAGTTCTGCTTTTTCTGGAAGATCTTGGAAAAAGAAAAAAAAACAGCATAAACCCCCCCCAAAAAAACCCCAAAAGTTGGCCTTGAGGGAGGGAGAGCTTCTTAACATTTCATTCATTTAAGTAGCATCTATGGTCAGTTTCTTCCTCTGGGTGCCATGTATTCACATTCCCAGTATTGTGCTGGAGACATGATCTGAGCACAAGAGAAAGATGTCACTGTTCTGGAACAAAAATAGGATTCCATAATCCCAAGGGGAAAACAGAGGAGCACAGGAAACCCCAGTTTAAGCAGAGGACTTTCTATTCTGTCACTTAATACCTGTTTCAGGAATTTTGTGGCAATGGTAATACTGAGACAACATGAGGCAGTGTAGCATCATTGATTCTCAAACTATTAAGATGCTTCTGAGAGAGATGGCAAATCATTACTCCCCTGATCACCCATTTATTCCCACAATCACCTGCAAATGCAGCATCTAAGGGGCTAACTCCTGACATACTGAGGTCCAGGACAGTTTTCTGATCCCACCTCAGCTTTCTTATGGGTCAGGTGTGGTGCAAACATTCTGGACTTTGCATCCCTACCTCTGGGTCATCAGTGGCTCTAGAGTGCTGATGGAGGTTTTAGGGTCCCTCATTTACCTACAGGGTAAATGCAGAGCAAGTTCACGAGTTGCACTTAAATTGTTTATTTGGGATGGCTTCGTGGAGCTGATCGTTATTTTTAGGGGTTAAAGTCTTTACCTACATAAACCACTTCCTGGCAATGCTTCTATTCTAAATTGGAAATTTTAGGATGCTGTATTTCCAGGAAGGCCCTCTCATGAAGGAAAAAAAATTCAATATACAGAAAACCAAAAAAAAAAAAAAATGCACTAAGAAATACTTACCATTTAGAAGGACTGATATAGGGTTCCACTGCATACAAACCTTTCCTGGACTGGGAAACTTAGTAGGATGCATTTGGTGACAAAATACAACATAGCCTCATATTTTGCTCATGTTAAAGTAGCTCTGATGATTGCCCTTAAAAGATAGTGTGTTCTCCCAGGAAGAAACTGGGCAGCTAATATTGTCCAGAGGGATGCCCAAGGAATGACTAACAGCTCCTGGCTCTGCCCCTGCTCCGTTCTGGGTCCTCAACTTCTTTTCCTGGCTTCCAGCTGGATTTGACCAACTGGACATATTGGGAGGTGATTGGTAGATGGGAGCAAGGGAAAGCCTGAGATTTATCTGCCAACCTCCTTACCTCAGCACTGTGCCAGGCTGCAGGTCCAGTTCCAACAACACAGACCAGTGGGCTTCCAGATTCCGCCAGGAGAGTGGCCCCAGACTCAAGCTATCGTACCTTCTCCTCCTCTTCTTTTGCAGCCTGGTAGTCGTGCAGCTTGGGTAATCTTGAGTTGCTTCCTGGTCCCCGTTAGCTTTATTGCACCTCTGTCACCTGCACAGCCAGGTCCCTGCATTAAATTCTGTTTCAAACATTCTCTGTGGGTTCTGTTTTCCTAGTGCATGAACTGGTGCTCTTCAGAGAGTGTGATTTCTCCCTTTGCCTCAGGGTCCTGGTCTGTGAATAAGATTGGGTGATGTATTTACAAGCTTGATATTAGCTTCATGCTGTCTATTGATGTGGTGACCCGCATACCAAGGGAAAACATAGCATTAACATCCAAAAATTGAAATGAACCTCACACTTCAGGATGCCCCGTAAGCAAGGACTTCATTTGGTTTTCTCAGAGTAGTTTTCATTTTGAACTATAACCTCAAAACCTTTTGTTGGAAATAGGCAAGGAATAGAAAGTAAATAAAATGTTTTTTAAAAAGCAATAGATATATTCTTATTCATTTAATAATTCATCACTTCCTTATCTGTTCTCCAACCATGTGTGGTAGATTTACACCATTTCCCTCTGCGTTAATATTCTGATGCTTGGTAATAAACACATTGTAGGTGTATTCCTTATTTTTCTTGCAGTTACTGACATTGATCTATGGATTTGTTGTTTGGTTTTTGATTACTATATTTCTGGGTTGAAAATTTTTCATCATTAACACCTCTATACTTGTCTCCTAGACCCTTTTAACTATCTTTCTCTTCTTCCTTCAAAATCCTTGGATGTATTCCATAACTGCTATCAGTGAAGTCAGAAGATGGGCATGGCCATGTGATTTAGGTGAAGAGTTGTTTTGTTGGCCCTCATTTTCCTTCTCCAAAAAATATTTTATGTGATATTTTATCCCTCTCCTCCCTACTCAACTCAACTCCCAGGCAGAGATCCCAGAGGGGTACAATGTGGCACCGGTCTGAGTAATTTTGGTGGCAAGTTCCATGTACTTCTTCAACTGCCTCCCAAGCTAGTGGGCAACTAGAGAACTGGAATTGAGTGTCATCCATAGTCGGATCCATATCAGGAGTGATTCAGCAGGCAGTGACACATTAATTTGCTGGAAATGGACTCTACAGATGGCTGCCCACATGGCCTCATCAAAGCAGCCCAATGATAGCACAAGAAAAAGTTTGAGAATCAGATGTGGTTCCAATCACTGGTTCCACTGCATGCTTATTATACAAACTTCTGTAATAATAATGGCCAACAATGTTTATCAAGTTCAAACTATGTGATGGGCAGTTTTGCTGTATGTATTATCCTAATTATTCCACAAAGTCATGTGGGATAGGTTTTACAGATAATGAAACAAATTGAAAGCAATTAAGCAACTTGACCAATAACATTTAACTGGAAAGTGAGAGAGCCAGGAAATCCCCCAAGTCTTTCACCCTTTTTTGCCACTTTGCAAGTTAACTAAATTTTCCAAGTATAACTTACTTTGTCTTTCACATCAAGATATTTGTGTCCATCTTACAGTATTATTTCTCTCTTCTTGTCATTCTGCACCATTTAACATCTGTTGAAATTCCATTTTATTATGCACTGTTACACTTGTATTCACTACTCAAAAGAAAAAAATAGAATCTCAAATAAATTAATGAACACAAAATTTATCTGCCGATGGAAGGTATTCTAGGAATCCTAGGTAGCACATGGGTCTGGATTCAAATGGGTCCTTAAAATGCAAGGGAATAGGGAGATAAGTCTGATTGTGACTAGAGGGAAAGCCAGGAACCAGTACAAACAATTCTGCCTCAGCTGCCTCGGCTGCTGTGCTCTGCAGAAAGGTAAGGGATCTCCTGGGAGCCTTCAAGATAAGTGTGCCCAGGTGGGAGGTTGTAGATTCAGATCTGCAGCGTCACATCCCTCCAGAGCACAAGTCAGAGAAAAGCTCTATAAAAGTTCCTCTTCTCTAAGCTCTGGAGGTACAAGCCTCTAACGACAAGAGCAAGTAATTTCAGCTTTGGGAGCACAATCATTTTATACTAATCCACACTAATTTTACATTCAACTTAGAGACATTGCCACTTAGTTTCCTTATGCATTATGTTGACATTTTCTGTGTCTTTGCTTGCTTTATATGCAGTTTATAGGAGAAAGGAACCTAAGGGAAAGGCTTAACAAGAATAATACCTTAATAGACTCTCAAAGAGAGTAGAAGTTGGGGAAATACAGACGTTTAGGCAGATTGTAATAATATTCAGACTAATTTTTTGCAAGAGTCTGCAAGGTGAAGCCATCTTTCCTCAAGAGAGAAAAAGGATATTATTTTTCCAATGGACAGCAAAGTTGGGTAGAGGACAATCTGGAGATAGAACAGACAGCAAATGGAAAGAATAGGGAAATATTTCTAGAACAGCAAACACAGTGACATTCAAATGAACTCCCCCAAACACCCCCTTGTTAGGGAGACTTCCTGAATTCCCTGGGGTCACTGTTTCCTTCTTGCAAGACCCATAGAGTCCCTATAGGTCTCTACTTTCCATTCATTCAAATCGTTACTGTCAACATCTGTCCTCACCTTCAATTCTGAATTTCTCAAGAACAAGAAAACATATCCTCCCAGGCTGGTATTTTTCTGTGCCTGGCACTGTGCCTGATACAAAGGAGGACTTGTGAGTTGAGTGTGCTTTTATCAGAGGCCTGTGTGAGTGAATGACCCTTTTCCCAGTACTATTACCTGTTAGTGAGAGAGCAGCAAAGCTACCTTTTCTAGGGAAGGGAATGATTTCACCTTGTAAGATCTTTTATTTTCCTTGATGTTCCTGTCCATGTGACTTTAACCTCAATTCAAGTACAAGCTAAAATTGCTCCCCATCATTTATGCCTTTTAAGGACCAGTTAAATGGTATTAGAAAATGTGTTCAGAGCATGAGGATTGTTTATACCCTATGCTAAGAGAACACACCACCAGATCACCACCTCGCTTCTACACAAGCATCTGTGTACACACTTGCACCTGCTGAAAACTCCAAAACTGGAAACGGCTGATGAGTTAGAATGGTGAGATTGCAGTTGTAGTGTTTTGGGTTTTTTTAGGAAAAAGGCTTTATGCTTATTATATTTATACAAAGATAAGTGAATAAATATGCAAATGAATATGAAGTAGATACATCAGGAAATGGGAAAACAAAATTCATGACTAAATATCCAAACTTCTGTTACTGAAAGCAGTGCTTTTTTCTAGTTACACAGAAAGAACAGATCATCTAGAATAGCACGACGTCTGGCTGTGAGAAGGTTTCGGAGAAAATGTCTGATATTCGTATTACCACTCCCTTTGGATTGTGAACAAGGGTCTGCTTCTGCCTCTCTAGCGGCTTGAGTATGCTCTGGTCAGCTCAGGGTCAAGGAAAGGCCAAGGATTTTTTATACATTTCTAGTAGATGACACGAACATTAGTCACTTATCTCTTTTTTTCTCTCTCTCCCTTTCCCTTCAGGAACAGAAAAATATGCTATGTCGCACGATGGCCCCTGAGAATTTAGGGAGGGCAACAGTTTAATGTCAGCCTGGTTCAGGGTGTGAATCTTGTTGAAGATAAAATGAACTCCATGAAACTCGTTTAGTTGCTAAGAGACATGATATCTTTAAATGTCAATTATCATTCCCCTCAAAATAGCTCAAAAATCATCCAGTGTTTAGAGCTTCTGAAAGTTTCATGATATGCTAGATTTTTTAAATGTGCATTAAAATCCTGATTTCATAATGCTAGCTTGAATAAAATGTATCTGACTTGACCATTTCTTAGCTGTGTGACTTTGATGAAGCTATTTTTTTCTAAGCATCAGTTTTATTCCTTTATCAAAAAAGTGGTAACCAGGGTCAATTTCTTAATCTGTGAAATACACCAGTTGTATTAGTTTGAACTGCTTAATTCACATGAGATATAAGAATGTATGTGAAAGAGAATAAAAATAGGAAAGGCATAAAAATATCAATTATTATCATAGGGATGTCTGTCCTTCCTGTATATGATTATAGTATGTTCAAGATAGATACTAAAATCTATTGGAGATGAACAGAAAATACTTGATGTCTCAGAAAATTAAAAAAGGATTGAAAATTAATTTTCAGTATTCATATTACAAAATAATTAACTACGACTTATTATATTTTTATATAACATTGTACATTTTTAAACTAATGTTATTATGGACCCAAGCTCATCTTAAATATAATTTAATTCACAAAATATTGTTTTGAACCTAATGTACAAAGGCACATACATCACAGTACATCAGATACATGCTGTGGTCCAGTGTAAGCTGGTGAACAGGGCTTTAAAGACAAGTAAGACAGAATTTCAGTGACCTCTCTATGGTCTGCAAATGGATGTCTCTAGGTGTACAAGATGACACTGAAGCTTTGTCATAGGTGTGTGCAACTCTGTGCTGTGGGAAAATGGATTAATCTTTTCATTTTGTCCTTTTATCACTGAGTTCTCTCTAGACTTGTTCTCTGAGCTGTGTCTCTCATATTTGCATAAGAGACTCTCTGATGACATACCAACCTCCAACCTTGGTGCCTTTGCCTTGGTTCCAGCTGGGCAAGGTACTGACAAGTGTTTTGGGGTTCACGCCTATGGCATTCCTCCTGCTTTTCCTGTCTGAATCATCCTTGCTTCAAATAGCTGAACAGCAGCTGATCAGAATCCAGCTGCTTAGACTTTGGGTTTAGACAATTAGAACTCGGATCTCATATTAGCCAGTTACTTACCCAGGGACCCTAAGCAAGATTGCTTCAATTCTCAAGGCTTTGATTTTTCTTATCTGTAAGTAGTATAACAACACATTACAGAATTTTTATATTGAAAACATACACTTTAACATGGTGCCTAAGAAGTAACAAGGAAGTTATGAGTGTTGTTGCTATTGATGTTGTTATAATTATTATCATTATCATTTACAGGGTCAACTTGGAAAAAGAACAATCAAGTAAATGTCAATTTGGTCCCAGTGTAGTGATTGTACCATAAGACTTCATATCCAGAAGTTTCATGTATATCCATATGAAAATGTGTATGATGTTTTCAGTACACAAGGATGATCATCTGTCCTCAAACAGGAAGCCAGAGCTAGATAGTACTTCCTTTGGGTTGTTCTATATGATTCGTCTACTGTAGATTTACCTCCAAACTATTTTTATCTTGAATAAATATAAAGCAAAATGAGATCTTTATTCCTGAAACATGCATCAAGATTCTCTTAGGCAAAGGAAGTAGTTTCAAAGTCACTGAGGGACAGAGGGAAAAATGAAGTTACAGGTAGTTTACACACTTGGATTCAGTTCCTGTTTGGAGAATCAAAGGCAGCTCCAAAGAAAAAGAAAGATGAGGAACTACTAGCTATATTCAAAATAAAAAAGAAGTTAAAAAGAATTCAACTGGCTAGGACATCAAGAGTTTTTCTGTGGCTGGGGAGAGAGAGTAAAAAATGATCCCCTAGGAAGAAGAGTGGAAAAACCCTGATCTCAATCTTCTGAAGTTTGAAAGAATCATCACATAGAGGGAGGAGTTTGTTTTCCTGTCTGGGCTGCTCCTTATTAAAGTATGCAAGAAACAGAATTTACAACTATGATACATAAATAATTACCTTTCCATATTAAAAATACAGAATTATGGAGCAAGCTAATCTATTGTAAACTTTCTGAAATATGTAACATCAACTAAATAAAAAAATCTCTAGGAATATTTTTCAATTGTTTAGAGTTTTTCAATAACAAGGACTACCTCAAAGATGTGATAAAATTTATCTACGATGAGTTACATTGGTCAAATCTTTCAAAAATCCTGTTTATAGCAATGCATTATTAACAGCAATACTGTAGCCAGGTTCAGCAGCACAAACCTGTAAACTCCACACTCTGGGAGACTGAAGCAGGAGAATTTCAAATTCAAGTTCAGCCTGTGAAATTTAGTAATTTAGAGAGACCTTATTTCAAAAAAAAAAAAAGCTGAGGGTATATGTCTTAATTACTTTTTTCTCATTGTTGAGACAAAATACTCAACACCCAAAGTTAAAGGAGGAAAGGTTGGTTTAGCTCACAGTTTGTGGAGATTTCAGTCCATAATCACCTGGCTCCAAGGCAGGGTGGCACATGGCAGAGGATCAACAGTTCACAGGAGTGGAAGACAGCAAAAGCAACAGGGAAGAGCAAGACCAGCCTCTTTCAAACCTTTATGTTGTATACAGTCTACAGAGATTGGGCAGCGTCAGTCCAATCAATGGATTGATCCAGCCTTAATTCCAACACCCTTAATCCTAGCATTGAACCATGAATCAATCATATACTCTAAATTCAAGCACCTCTGAAAAAACTGACCACATGAGGCTTTGAGAGGACATCTAGAAACAAAGTATAACAGTGTAATTCACTGTGATGGCTCCAGGTTTAATCCCCAGACCACAATAAAAATGGCAATAATGTAAAAGCCCATCTGTATCTGTATGCTATCTATTATTCTAAAAGCCCCCTACGAGAGGAGTATTTTTAGTATTCCCATTTTACAGAAGAGAAAACCGAGGTTCAAAGAGGTCAAGAAACGTGTTCAAGATTACCCAGCTGAACGTGGCACTGTCTGCCTCCCCAGCCCCTGCTTTTTCCACTGTGTCATACTTCCTCGTGACCACTTCCTGTCTTGCCTGAACAAACACAGTTCAAGTGAAGCATACAAGCAATGATGATGTGCCACTGTCACGCCTCCCAATTAAACCCTATAATTTCTAAGTCTGAGTTGGAAGTCCTCTGGCTCTATGTTCCTGTCTGGCTTGCCCAGGAAAATGTTTATTTTGAGATGCACCTCTGTCAGAATGGCTGGATGCTTTTAATGCTCTTTCATGCCTACACTATAGTGAAATGAGGAACTACTAGATGGAACTACTAGATAGAAGAGGTAGAGTCATATGCTCCATGTCACAACTGAGAACGTCCCTGGCCCCTGCTCCCAATCTGGGGTCTGTTTCGAGGAGGGTGTTAAGGCTATGAGTGGTCATAGAGGCTATAAATAGAGCCCTGGGTTTGAGCCAGCTCAGAGTGTTTATGTTTTTCGAGTTGCGCTGCAACCGTTGTTGGTAATTATAGACGCGTGGGTGAAGATGTGTACTGATGAACAGTTCCTCCTCCTGATTCCTTCTCTGCCCAAGCTGAACTCTGGGGGTGTTTGAACTCACAGTCCCATCATAAAGTCCATTGTGTATTTCCTGACCAAACTGAAGTGGGAAAGAGGTTGAAAGAAGTCAAGGTATTCTATGCCACCATTTGGTGTCTGGTGTGGTCTACACTTGCTTTTAATGAAATACTCTAATGTGACATTAAAAGAACATTGTTCTTCCTCCTACCTGTAGTTAGAAAAGCAACTTCTGCCTTATGACAATAAAATACATTCCGGTTTTTGAAGATGTATGTGTAAAGAGGATTCATGGGTCTGATTGAAATGATCCCCAAGAAAACACAGTGCAGTGAGTTCACACCAGTAAACTGCTGTGATGTGTGACATAAACTCTGTAAGGGCTGCATTTCTCTTTTGGCAATCCAGAATCACATGCAATCCTTGAACTCTCCCTCTACATTGGATGGTGGAGCTACATCTTTCTGCTCTTCCCTTACGTCTCTGATCACAGGCCAGAAACACTTCCTGATCTGACCATGCAGCTCACTAGAACGGCCAGCCTTGTCTGATTCTCACCAGCCTGGGCCAAAGAAATGCCAGTGAAGTAGAAATATCTGCTGGAATTCAGGAGGAAAATGTCATTCCCCTTAAAGTCACATATTTCAAAGAACGATTGCTTCAGCTTTCTAACCTCACCTCATCTATGCCTTTGCAAGTGTCAGAAAGTCAACTAGAGAGAGAGAGTGAAGAAGCCTAGCGAGACCTGTCTAATCTGTCTTATATGCCCTGTTTTGTCCTACTTATCTGCTTGTACCTGTACAGTTTGTGCGCTCTGATGACTGGCTAACTAGGTAACTATTCAGGTGTTTAGAGGCAGAGATACGGAGTACATGAAACCAAGATTTGGTGTCCAAGGATAAAATCAAATAAGCAAGTGATAGATCATTAAGCAAAAAGCAGATAGTGAAAAGAGCTAGTCACAAAAGACTTCATATTGTATGATTCCATTTTGATAAAATGTCCAGAATAAGCAAATCTATAAATTAGTAATTACTAAGGCCAGGGGACATGAGAGATTGGAGGGTGCTGGATAAGAGGGATAGAGTTGTTTTTGGTTTTTGTTTTGTTTTGTTTTGGTACCAGGGATCAAACTCATACTTGTCAGGCAGGTGCTTGTGCCACTGAGCTAAATCCTCAGCCCAGAGGGATGGAGTTTTGAGGAGATAATGAAATTGTGATGATAGATGTTCAACTCCATGAATATATTAAAAGCCAGCGAATTATACACATTAATCAAGTAAACTGGGTGGTATGATAATTATTTCTCTATAAGGATGTTTTTAAAAAAAGGTCAGAAGTGATACATTTGGAGCCTGTTCTGTGGAAAGCCGGAAATGCTAAATGTGGAGAACAGTGAGACAGGAGAGGTGACAGGAGGGGCTTTACTGGAAGGTCCTGGATCGACATCAGACAGGATGCAGGATAGATTTAATGCAATTTTAGCTACAGCTTATACATTTTGAAAAGGACCAATACGAATATTCCTTTCATGTAAAAGACCACTGGAGGCCATAATAAGATTACTCTAAATTTACTTCTTGTATTCTAGGGGAATGTGTGTGTTTAAAGATGGAAGCTGGTCCCAATGCTGAGTGGGTACAGTCCTGCTCCTGTGGTAAGACTATGTCTGTGAGAAATTAGCTTCTTCAGTCTCTAAAGCCTCGTTAGAAATTGTGCTTGTGCTCTATGACCTCTGGGATCAACTGCCCTCTCAGTTGGTGATATTTACCTACGTTTCCCTTTTATCAAGACCAACTCAAAGGCTCTTCAGTTTGCCAGTCCAGGGGTAAGGTGATTTTGGTTGTATGTGAAGGAAACCCAAGGTAAGTTCAGTATTTCTTTAATCAAGAATGAATGAGAAGGCATTTATGCAAGATCCACTTCTCATAGTAACTGAAGATTTCATACAGCATTTAGCATGTTCCATCCTCTTCGCTCTATTTTCAGAACTGCAAGCCCAAAGCCATCTGCTTGTTGCTCCCTGTATCTGAAACATCCTTTCTCCTCCGCTTGTGGCTAATTCCTACAGTGCTTCAACAATCTTCCAAGAAACCTCTTCAAATCTCTGGATAGTCCGGGAGTCCTCCCATATGCTCCCTCAGCATCCTGTTTATATTATAGCCGCAGTCACTGCATTGGAATGGAATTATCCATGTGTCTGTCTTCACCTCACTGCTCTGGAAGCTCTTTGCCACTCATTGCTACATTTCTCTGTCCATCTCCTGCACCAGCTACCAGCACCTAATACATTTTTCATAAATGTATTTTAAGTGCGAAGGAGCTATACGATGACCACCTAGAAAGTTAGAGCAAATGAATTGACCCTTTCAAAAGGATCAGAGAGTAGTAGGTCATTCTTTGTGTCCACAAGGCTGAGTAAACCCTCTTTAAATATTTGCCAAACTGATTTATTTGTATCTTGACTTTGATACATTTAACTGCTTATAGTCCACAACTCAGATACGTTATATATGCCTATAATTAAATTGTTTTTCACATACTCAGTTCAGACATTCGTTCATTAGCTGACAAAAATACACAGGGAGCTTTCCATAGTGAAACTGACTGGACACTCAGTTTTACCAGCAGCATCATTTTGGTGATGGGAGATTCGAGTCGTTGTCTGAATATTTTTTTGCATTTTCAAAAATGAGTGGGAGACAGAGAAACAAAATGCTGATATGAGTAAAAGTAATTGGAGAGGTCCCATCAGTTTAATAAAATTAAGACAAAAATAGAAATCATTAGGTGTACTAAAAATAGCAAGCCTTAAGCCTCAGTTGTATGCTCAGTGGAAGGTAGGTTGATTGGGTGTTCAGTTACAAAGAAAAGGAGCATAGTTAAATTTGAGGATTGCATTGTCATCTATGGTATCCAAAAGGCAAAGGATAGCAAGTATTTTTATAATTCTTTTAAATCTCTGAAAATCCTCCCATCCCTCAACCAAGTAGTCAACACTGCTTGATATCCACACTTTTGATTTTCATATATGCTACGGTTTGGATATAGTTTGAGTGTGCTCCCCAGAGGCTCATATGGTGGAATTTGGGCTCTAGTGTAGTGGTGGTACCTTTAAAGGTCTAGTGAAAAGCAATTAAATCATGATGCCACTGACTTTGCAAGGTACCAATACTGGTTTTGCAGAGCAGGATAGTTCTTAAGAGAGCAGGCTGTTATAAAGCATGACTACCCATATGTTTGTCTTTTTCTGTAGAGAGCTGCTTCTTTTTCTGGTTCTCTACCAGAAAGTTGTCATAGAGCCAGGGCAGCCTTAACCAAAATCCGAATAAATGGGGCCACTTGATCTTGAAATTTCAACCTCCAAAATTCCAAATTTTAATAAACCTTGTTTTTGGATGAAGTACCCAGTATCTGATTATTATATTACAGCAACATAAAATGGACTAATATGTTTTGAAGAATATGTCTGACATATGTATCAAAGCAGGAGATGTGCCTTGTGCTATATTAGATTTCTAAAGTATTGTCCAGTCCTAAAAATCTTTGGAAGGACCAGCAACAAAACCTAAAGGCTATATCTCATTGCTAAGTGATTAAAGGCACAGATGAAGAGTCAGACAGCTGGATAAAAATCCTGACTTTGCCACCATTTAGTACATATGTCTTTAACAAGTCACCTAATCCTCTAAACTTCAGTTTCTTCTGTAAAAGGAAGATAATCGTGGTATATATTCCATAAGGTGGCTGCAAAATACAAATGAGTACATATCTTTAGCAGGCTTAGCTGTGCCTGGCACTTACTCTGATCTTCTAATACAGAAGCTGTTTTCTAGGAAGGAAGAAAAATACTGGAAGAACTAGGAGGAGCCAAGTTTGACTTGCTTCACAAATTGTCTAGGGCCCCATCCAATCCTGAGCCCTGTTACAAACTCAATGCGGAAACACTTAAAATTTCTGTTACTACTTCCAATCTACTTACTGGGTCATTCTGGCTTCTGCTGGTGTGAGTGGGAGTATGCTATTTATTCATCTAATGATTCCTTCCAAGTTAGAGAAGCTGGAAACCCTGACAAGTGTTCCACCCATTACTTCTTCCATTCCACCTCCCGAGCTCACTGGAAGGTGTGTCTCCGCTGTGACCGTCACATCTGCATTGTGAACTTTCACTCATCTGTGCTGTTAGTGCTTTGAAACCAGTGACTATGACTCTGCAATCATAGGGGTAGAAGAGGCTGGATTAAAGATGTGCTGTTAAAAATGACACCTTGACAAGTCAACGGTATACAACGGGCACCTGGCACCCAAGGCACACTCTGGTTACTGTGGGTCTCTGGGTTTGCTCACTTTAAAATGACTATGAGTCTACACCATTTCTATTTTGGCAACACTGTTGTTTAAGGCCCTCTTCAAATATTTAGCAGTTTTTAATAACTTTACTTATTACTATCTAATATTTATTATTTATTAGTGTTAGTCTTGATCTTTCAACACCTTTCAAAAAGGCTTTCTAAAAGTGTAGCTAGACCTCAAATGCCTTCAAGGTGTGAGTTCAGGTACAAAAGAGACGGAATCTGGACAGGGAGAGGAGAATGGCAGCTCCACTATGGAGAAGATTAAATAACAAGTAATTGAAAAACACCATACCCAGAGCCTAGGGCACAATCCAAGGTTCTCAGTAGTTTTAAAAACCCACCTTTTTAGGGCTGGGGATTTAGCTCAGCGGCATAAGCACCTGCCTTGCAAGCAGGCAGTTGCGAGTTTGATCACTGGTACTGGTAAAAACAAAACACACACACACACACAAAACCACCTTTTTGTTCTATCAAGCTAATCTCTTTTTCCTGTTGTAAAAAGACTTTCTGACAAAATCAGTTGTCCTGAATATTCTGGTGACACTTTTTCCTTGGCTCCTTAGGGTAGCCTTCTGAATGCACCCTCTCCAATCCCCACTCTTGTGCTTTCCACTGGCTCTAAAGTGACCTCCATGCCCACCACCTCAACCTAGAGGGTCTCAGTCAAGACCCAGATTGCCTTTCCTTCAAGTGCTGCCTCCTGGGTCTCCCTGAGGCAAATGATGCTATCTATAGTCCAGTCTCTTCTTCTTAGAGATGCTCTTCCCTGCCTCCTCCTTCTCGGGCTCCCTTGTGGTCTCTCTTTTAGCTGCTTTTAAAAATGATCAGTTAAAAAAAAAACTTATGGTTAGCCTTCTGTCCTTCTTATAGGGCACGGCCATCTTCTGTCATGGATTTAACTACCACCTACATAGAAGCAACTCTCATATGTTTCTCCTCATCCTTGGCTTATCTTTTGAGTGTCAAATCACATAACCAACTGCATACAATAATCCACCCCCCCATCTGCAGCTTTGCTTTCGGGGTTACCCACAGTCAACTGCAGTCTGAAAATGTTACATACAAAAATTATAGAAACAATAATTCATACATTTTAAATTTCATACCATTCTGAGTTATACAGTGCAATCTTTTATTCTACCTCTGTCCCTCCAAAATGTGACTTAGCCCTTTGTCCAGTGGGTCCATGCCACATATGCTACCTGTTTGTTAGACACTTAGTAGGTGTCTTGGGTATCAGACTAGATAGTGCCGTATCTCAGTGGCTGTGTTCAAGTAACATTTATCTGGCTTAATAATGTGTCCAAGTGCAGGTATAGTGAGACTGGTAATTCAAATATGCCAAAAAGAACACCTAAAATGCTTCCTTAAGTGAAAAAGTTGAAACTTCTCAATTTAGTAGAAAAAAATTTCTACACTAAGGTTGCTAAGTTCCAAGGTAAGAACAAAGCTATCTGTGAAATGGTGAAGAAAGAAAAAGAAATTTGTGCTAGTCCTGTGTTTCACCTCACACTGCAAATATTATGGCTATGGCGAATGGAAGAGCTTAATAAGCTGAAAAGACATTAAATTTGTGTGTCTATATAAGAAGAAATCATATCAACTATAGGATTTTGTACTATCCCCAATTTCAGGTATCTATCCCCTTTTTTCTGTATCATCTAGAGAGACTCAAACCAGAATCCCAGGTGGCATCGTTAGGCGTACCATGTTCCATGACCTCTCAGTGTCCTCACTCTACTCCGTGTCCACCAAGTCACAGGCATTCACTACTTTTCTCATCCTTCCACACTGCCTCTAGCTTGGTTGTAACCCTCAGACCTTTCTTGAATTATTTTAACAGATACCCAACTACTTATGTAGCCTTCTGTCTCATCACCCTTAGACATATTCTCTCTACAGGGAGCCAAGTGACTTTTCTGAAATGAAAGTCTGCTAAGAACCCACTGTCTTACTTAAAATCTGTGCAATAACTCCCCTTGCCTGCCTGGTAGAACAGAAACTCTCTGCAGGCCCTCAAGCAGCTCTGCGATCTGTACTGCATCTCTACTTGTCCCCTTTCCCTCTTTGTATATTGTCAGAGCCAAAAAAAGTTCATTTCCTTTTGCATTTCATTCCAGCCTAGACAGTATGCAGTATTTTGCCAGGCCCAGTCTGAGCATTCTCTTTCATCTTCCTACCTTCCTCCAACCCCTACTCTTCCACCCCTTCTTAGAGAGTGACTACTTTTTCTAATACACCACAGTATATCTTGGCAAGGTATCTACCACACTATTTACATGTCTGTCTCTGCTAGACTGAGAACTCTTGAGGGTTGAAGATGGTCACCTCTCTGTCCTTACCCTCAACCTTGTCTGTGCACAGGTCCTGCCTATAGCAGGCAGGGAACAGAGCACCCAGTGCCTCAAATCGGCTGGGACCAAGAGCCCACTGGCTTTAGTTTTAGTCTCAGTTGCTCAGTCTAACAGCTTCTCGAGCTTTGTGCTTATGAAAAAGCACCCAGCCGATGATAAAACATGCAGTATCATTTGCTGAGCTGTAGTTAATGGTGACCCTGCTGATCGGGGGTGCTTTTGCCCCCTTTTGCCCAGACCCCAAACTCCCCCAGATTGTGCATCTTAAAGGTCATGGTCTTGGACTGTCTTTATCAATCAAAGCATCAGTCAGAGACAAAAATCCCACTCTGGGATATGGTAAGACATTTCAGTTTCAAAACACTGCAGATGTTAAATGAGTAATGTTAATGTGATCTCAGAATAGTAAACACACCCCCACAAGGATAACGGTCTTAGTTGCATTATCTAGAAGGAAAGGTTAAAAAAATAAAAGCAGCATTTGGCTGGGAGGACAGTGGAAGAACTCCCTGCAACACTATATCCAAAAAGGAAGGACAAATAAACTGCATTTCTCCAATGGCCCCCTCTCTGCCTCCCCCATGGGACACTGCTACACTCACCCTAGGGTGGGCTGTGTCATTTGAGGGAAGTGAAGGGAAGCAGGGAGCATACACAGAGGAAGAAAACACAGGCTTCATTTTCTAAAGCAGTCACTCACTCTGATTGGGAAAGAACTTCTTAAGAACTATAAACATCCTGGCCAGGAAGCAACACTTCATCACATGGTCAAGGATCAGCCGCTTGCTTGTCAGGGATTGGTTTCTCCCTTCTGTGGTGAGAAGATGGCTCCAGGCCAGCAGGGACACCTTCCCCAGCACTCCACTGTCATTTAGGTACGTGTAGCACCTACCTTCCAAAGTATTTGACACAGTTCCTATTACATCTCACTCATGTGGAAGATTCACAATAGCAGTGGTGGAGAACTCACCCTTTCAGAGTTTATGTAGAGCCAGACTCATCTCCTCCTCCCTAGATGGCCTTTTTCAAAGCGGAATGGTTTTGGAGATCCTGGATATTTATCCACTTAGGCATGATGTAGCCAGCCCTCTAGCCCACTTGACTCTGCCTCTTCTGTTGCTAAGACATGGTTTGTCCCATAATCCAGCATTCTTAGAATCTCTTGCCCTTAAAGAAAACAAGCAGGCAGCATATTCCCGCTGAGGTATTAGAGACTCAGCGTGACCAGTATTCATACTTTACCCAAGAGAATGACTCTAATGGTGAAGTTTCTACCTTATCACAGAAGCCAGTGGGTCTTCCTAGTGCCTGTCCAGTTCTGTTACATTGACAATCACTGCAGATGCCAAGGCATGAACACAACCCCTCACGCCTGGGTTGTAGCTCTGTCTTTGGTGAAAGACTGGCAGAGTTCATTGTGATTATCAGGCTGTTTTGTATATTGCTTATTTAGAAGCATTTTTTGGAAGTACTAGGCAGAGTAAAACTACAAAGGCTCTTGGCCCACACCCCAAAATCCTCAGTATACTTCTACTCCACCAGGACTCCCTTGACAGAGAGGTCCCAAGTTGTAGAAGAATGAAAAAGTTGCCTGATGAGTCTTCAGATGTGCAAAATTTGAAGGCTCAAGTTACATGGTAATTTTACAATGGACACATGAAAGTCATCATCCATTTTTTATTCAGTTATTCAATGGATATTTATTAAGCTCCTACCATGTGACAGGAATTGCCCCAGAGATACATTAAAGAACTACGCTAACAAAGTCCCTGCCATGGTGGAGCTAAAAATTGGAGATTGATTTGAGCTATTTTTGTTTGCTCCCAGAAAGCAGAACTGGGACAAATGGGCAGAGGACCCAAGGAAGCAGATTTCCATGCAGCACACAACCAAATATGGGCTGGTAATGAGCATCTTATCACTAGAAGGATCTGAGAAAAAGCTGCATGACTATTGCGGAAAAAGGCCTGCACAGTGTTGGACTAGATCCGCTGCTTTCCAAATATTTCTTTCACCAGCAGAAAAAGTTTGCAAACACCATCTTACCTGCACCCTCGATATAAAAAAGAGTAGAAGGTTCTGCAGAGCAAATGAGAAATATGTATCTGGAGGCCCCTTACACACCTCTTTGTTCTTTAAACTTAGATATCTAAAAACACTGGATGAGATTACCCATTGGGTAATTTGTAAATCTAAGTAGAATGATACACTTTTCTTACTAGATTCTTTCCCTTGTCCTTCCCATTTCTACTTTTTCCTAAGAAAGAGGGTAGTAGACGAGAGAGGACAAGCAGAGGCTCTGGGTGTACACTTAAAAGATTCTCACTGAGAATGTCAGCATAGGCCAGATGTAGTTTCACTTGGGTGAACCTAAAAATCATAGCATGTCTCCTTCAGTTCCCAACACGATCCAGGATCCTGAACTTAAGATAAACCCAAAAGAGTTCTAACTGACCAAAAGAACCTTAGATAGAGAGGACAAAAAAAAAAAAAAAAGACAAAAAAAACCACACAAAGAGAAGACACTCATGAGTAACTCATCCTGTTAAGCAAAAATTCACCTGCATTATTCTCGGGATACTTGAGATACTTGAGGGTGTGCAGTATCTTCTAATGCAAAGTTTACTTTCAAGCAATGAACTCTGCCTTTATGTGCTCCCAGATTTAACAGGTGTGACTAAGGGACTGCACATCCTTCTCCAGTCTGGAGCAAGATGTTGAAGAAGCAGCCTCTTGTGAAAATCTTAGAAAGCCCCATCCTTATTGGGTGCAGTTTACTTGAATAGCCAAGTCGTCACATCCTAGGGCACTTGAGACCAGGAGGTGCTACCTGGATAAGGCCAGTGGACTGTGGGAGAAAGGAACCTGATAACTTGAAAAAGAACTTGAGCTCTTCCCAGGTGTGTCACCACCATACAAGTCCTCAAGCTTGTCCTGCATGACTTTACCATCCCCTAGGCTAGAATTTGCTGAAACCAGGCTCACATATTCTAGCTTCATGGTCTACAAAGTTGTGAACCAAAATCAGCGAGCAGAGTTTTGCTTCATCCTATGGCTTTCCACAGCACGACATATCTAGGAAACAGGCGTAGGGGATGATGTTGGCAGTTACCCAATAGAATTCTGAAGTGTACGACTTTGGGAAATCCTGGCTTAAAAAACAAAGTAGCTTTCACTATTGCAGGGCTTTTCAGAGGCTAGAAAATGCTAATTTGAATTGTAACTCCAGGAAATGAATAGAGAAACAGTTGTTCCTGCTTTTATTTGACCTGTAAGAATTTTTTTTCGCTATGCAGCTAAAGAACTCTTCTGAAACACTCTTTGGAAAACACTGTCATAAACCAAACATTTAGTTAAATTGTATGAGCCTAAAGATTTACCTTTTATTAAAGGAAGCCAGTATTTCCAAATTTGGCACTGTCTTATCCACTTGTTTGGGAGATAAGACTTCATGTAGATGGACTATCTCCATCACTGAAGCTTTCAGAAACAACACAGTTGAACCACTTTACCTGAAAATTTTCTGTAACATTTCTCTATTTTATTAAAAATTAAAAAGTACATTTCTGAGTCTAAAAGTATGTTCATGCTTCTTTGTCTAAGACTGAAAATGTTAGAAAAAACTAAACACAGCAAACCCATAAATCTGTTAATATTTGAAGTGATTGACTTCCAAGTGATTCTGCAAAAATTTGTGCTGAAATATAATATAATGCTGTAATTTACTTAATAGATTATATAGCATCAAACATTCTTCAAAGCTTATTTTAATGGCTTATTATGGCCTATAATATAAATGTGTCATACTTCATTTAACCATTACATTTATAAGATGAATTAGTTGCTTTTGCTATAAATAAGTATGAATTTTCTTTTGCAGAAATCTTTGTCACTTTTCTACTTCTTTTAAGTAGATATCTATAAGTGGAATCAATGTGTCAAAGCATATAAAGATTTGTGAGATCTTGAAATATATCAAGTTGCCTTTCAGAATACTGGTATCATAAATATATAAAATATAATATATATTTTCATGAGCTTATGAAAGGGTATTTTACCATATTCTCACCAAAATAAAATATCATCACTTTTTAAAAATGTGTGTTAATTTGATGTTAAAACCACCATCTTGTAATTATTTCACTTTTTATCATTGAATTTAAACATTTATATGTAGTAATTTGTCACCTGTGTTTTTTCTCCTATAGATTGTTTACATATAATATTTCCATTTTCTATCACAGCTTTAAGAGTTTATTCACTGATCTGTAGGAAGCCTATTATTGTTACTGAATTTCTTATTTGTGACAATTTTTAGAACTTGCTATTTATGTGTTCAAATGATTTTATAATTTTTCTTTCCTTTTTGCAGTAGTGATGATTAAACTTTACATTCCCTGCTTTTTTATTTTTTATTTTGAGGCAGGGTCTTACTAGGTCGCAACATTGCCTGGGGTGGGCTTGAACTTCTGATCATCCTACTTCAGCTCTCCCGGAGTGCTGAGATTACAAGTATTCACCGCCTGTGGTTTCAATATATCAGTCTTAATGTCTATTTACACAAAATATAATTCTCTCCTTAAAAGTATCCTCTGTTGTTTTTGTGTTCAGAAAATCCCTTCCCTTTCAGAATTTCTGATGAATATTTACTGAATTTCTTCTTGATATAGTTTAATTTTTAAACCCTTTTTAAAGAAATATAGTTGGTCATTGATTTTTAAACTGAATTAAACATTTTCTTAATGACTCAGGGTCACAGATTTGAACAGTGCTGAAAGTTTTGTACATCAAAACAGAAGAGCCTGGAGACCACCAGTGTCTGGCTGGCATGATTCTCGCCATTGCCTGTGACCTGTGATTTTCTCATTTGTCAGTGATATTTGAGTTTTAAAGCTCTTCTGCTGATGTCAGCTCCCAGTCCTCCTTTCCTATTGTTAACAGTTGTCTGCCACTCAGAAGGCTTCCTACTTGTAGCAGCTGGAACACTGTGGATATTACTGTGAATGGAGAACATATATAATTGAGCCTAAGTGGGGAAGGCATAAAAATGTCTCCATCCTCAGAATTGTGGAATATAACACATGGGAGGGGGGAAATAGCACTACTACTGGTGGAATTACAGATATGGTCAACTGATCTTGAGATATGGAGATTGTTCTAGATTATTAGGTCAGCCAAATGTCATTATTTTGGGTTCTTACAAGTGAAAGGAATATAGAACAATCAGTGGCAGAGTAAGTTGATATGAGAAAGATTTGTCGACCATTGAGGACCTGAAGATGGAAGGGGACCACAAGCCAAGGAATGGAGACAGTGGAATCCAGAACCTGGCGGGGGGTGGGGGAGGATTCGTCCTCTAAAACTTCCAGAGAAAACAGCCTGCTGAAACCTTGGTTTTTAGTATATTGAGGCACATTTTGAACTAACTGCCTTCAACACTGTAAGATGATAATTGTGTGTTTTACCATCTGAGCTGGTGGGGATCCATTAGAACAGCAGTGAGAAATGACCATAGTGGCCCTCAAGGTCTGTTTGCCAGAGCATCCTGCTTGGGCTCTGGTGCACAGCCTGCACCTCTGCAGTTCTGGCTGCTCTGAGGTTTTGTTTCCTCCACTACCCAACTATTTCCATGCTCACTGGAAATCTAACCCACATTTAGATCAGAGCCTAAGTAGGACATTAATTTACAGGAATTGGCCCCTCCAAAATCAGGTTGCAAGCACTGAGCTAAAGGGTAAATTAGAAGGAAGAAGGAGAGGCCAAGTATTTAAACATCTGTTTTTCAGAGAAATCACAAGACTAGAATCTTTTGCACAGTTGAAAGAAAGAATATCCAATAGAAGGCCATAACCCCTGAGCTGGGCGAGAGCATCATGTGGCCATTTAAGTTATGTCTGCACTAAGCCAGATAACCATCTTTGTCTCCAGGTAAATCCCCTCTGTCTCTGGAGGACTGGAGAATTCAAAAGAATGAGTTTCAAAGCATCTGTTTAGTGGAAAGAGTCTTCTGAGAATGGGGGTAGAGGGTTCAATGCTGATATGGATTTTGTGCCACCAAAACTCTTGGATCCAAACCAAATCATAGAATATGAACTATTCTGATAAAAAATGCAGGTGTAGAGTAGAATCTGAATCTGAGTTACTGATCCCTGTATCCTTAATGCCTTCCACAATACATGGCATGTAGTAAGCACTCAATAAATTCTTGCTCTGAAAGTGAACAAATGAATGATTCACTAACTATCATCTTCAAAGCCCACTATGAATCTATTTCATTGCTTAAAATTTTCCTATCTTAACCAAAAAGACCAACTCAAACAGTCCTAGTTCCAGCTAAGTTAGAGAACCAGAAGAGCCATGAAAAAGTATTTTACTAATATACTAGAAATCTTTTTTCAAAGAGAGGAAAAAAACTGGCCTTCTTTTGAGTTACAAAATTTGAGATGATATTTGAGGAAGAAAAGCAAAGTGGTTAAAGCCAAACACTGAATAATAATTGTATCTTAATGCTATCATTTAAAATGTAGTTTAATAAGTTAATACACATGTGACATTTAGAAAATATTGCCTGGGATAAATGTGCTCAATTGTAACTATGTTTATTATTCCTCAATACATGTTATATATCCTTTAATGAGTAAAACAATAGCATAAAATCATAATCTATAACATGACAAAAAGAGTATGTAAATTTGTTGATCATAACAAAGGAAAGTTACTAAGTGATGAAGACTGAAACTTTGCATGCACAGAACAGCATATCTGAAACACACTGTTATGAAAGCTATAGCATAGGTGTAAATATATTTACTTCTGAAACTATCACTAAACAAAGAATGATTCTTCAAGGTGATATTGACATAACTTCTGAATGCATTGATTTTTATTACATATGACTTCAGGCAAATAAAGTCACATGCAAATAAAATTGCAGAAAAAAGCTAAATGAAGGGTTTCACACTGAGTCTAAAGTCATAAGCAACAATATAATAACACAGTAACATAGATATCATGTATATTGGGAAATGTTAAAAAGGCCATTTTCTTAAAAGAATAAATTCACTCTCAGAGAATGTGGACTGATCTTCCAAGGCCAGAGAACACTGACCGGGGGATTGAAATATATTAACGTTTCAAGGCAATGTAACCTTTTTATACTCCATTAGTTTTATCAAAGATTCAGATGAAACATACATAGGTTAGATTACCCCTCACACTTACACCACTGGGAAAGTGCTAACTCATGACCTCAGGTGCCATTGGAAGAGAGATTACCTTGGTGTCCTAGTGCTTTGGACCCCAAGGAGCTGTTGACCAAAACTGACTGCACAACACACAAACTTGGGGCCAGGTTAAAAATGCAGACATATGGCTTACCCCAGGCCTACTCAACTAGAATTTCAACAGGCATTTGTACTTTTAAAAAGAAAAAAATCTACCCAAGTGATCCACAGGCAATCAGCCCAGCACCCTATCTGAAGAACCACTGCACTAGAGGGATTTTATGAAGAAGTTATTTCATAATAATAATAACGCTCCTTTACCTGGCAGCCTGGATATCACTAGGAGAAAGCCCTTCCCTTCCTATATGCTGGCCAATTCAGCCTTGACGGCTTCTGTCACCTACCACTCAGCTTGCAAAGAGCTCTATACTCCCATTTCCTCATTTTACAATGTGAGGGTTTGTTGAGATAACACATGTAAGGGGGTTTGCATAGCACATGGTTTGTGGATGCCAGCTGCTATTAACAGACTGTTCAGACAACTCCGTGATCCCAGGAACCTCTGGTCTGTCTTTTGACCAGAACATGGCTGGCCAGGAAGGAACAACGTTACCATCAATGCAATATCAATGGTATGCTGGGCACTAGGTCACTAGCAAGTATAATCACATTTTCACACATGAGGAGCCTGGGGCTGAGGAGGTTAAATGACTTCCTCCAAGTCACCCAGCTAAAAAGGGACAGATACACAGGAGCATTTGGCTAATAAACTTGGGCCCCATTGCACTTCTTTAATGGTTAAGATAAGGAGTGGAGAAAGCTTTGCCCTTTAAAAAATCTAAAGAGAGACATTTTGAAACTGCGAGGGAGAGGGGAAGTCACACCACCTACTCTCCTTATTAGCTGACACTTAGCCATTAGCCGAGGAAAAGCCCTACAAAGATGCCATTGCTTATGCTGTCTGTCTTTCTGTCTCTCTGTCTGTCTTCCTCCCTCTCATTCTCTCTGTCACACACACAAACACACACACACACACACACACACACACACATTCTGGCCACCTTATTTAAAATTAAATACCCCCTCATGGAGCTCTTATTCATTTCCCCTGATTTCTTTTCTTCTTACAGCTTGACCACTGTCTCACATTCTAACATTGTGATTATTTACCATGAGTCTTCCTTCCCCACTATTGTGTATACTTCTTGAGGGAAGGCATGTTTAAGGACCTTGTTTACTCCCATCTCCGTGTCTGAAATAGTGAGACATTCATTGGCAGGAATAAGTGAATGAATAAATAAATGAATGATTTGTAAAAGTCTAGAAAGATATCAATGATATATATTGAAAGAATAATTAGTTCTTTAATTTCATGTTTCCACTTTTCTATTGTAAATGTGTATTATTTTATAATAAGTTTTTGTTTTCAGTGTAACCTCTATTGTCCACATAAATAGCGACCAGAAGCTAAAGTGAGGCAGGACTGACTTTCTCTTCTGGAAGGCGAGTGTATCCCTCTGATCCTCTCTCCACCCTCTGCCTCTGCTCTGTGCCCTGAGACCCAACCTTGGTGAACTCTAGCAACTTCCAGTTGGGGAGACAATAAGGCTGGATGACTTACTCCTCCACTGGCGGCTTCTGTTGCTGAGTCACTGGAGATTTTTGATCCTCTTCTGAGAGTCCTAGTCCCTGCCAGCCAGCCACCTTTGGGTACATCCATTTGGGCTGGATTCCACAATTTCTCCTATGCTTGCACCCCCAGGCTGAGGTCCAGTCACAGCCCCGATGTGCCTGACTTGGCACCTCAACTCCTGGTCTTCCTCACTGTGGTCAAGACTTTCTTAAAGAAATTTGCCTCAGTTACCCCACTGAGTGTGTCACCAGACAATTGAGTTTCTTTCCAGGTCTGTAACTGGTGTGATGTGGAATGGGGAAATGTGCGGACAGCTGGAAGACCTGGATTCTGGTGCTGATCTTATCACTGAGTAACTCAGTTACTTTCTCTCTTTACTGGTTCTTTACCTAAAAACTAAGAAAACTGGGCAAGATAACGTCTAACATCTTGTGATTTTAAAAATCCTTTTGCTTAAAGAATAAAGTAGTTACTTCCTGCTTTGGCTAGAAACTACTGACTTGATCCCGATTCTGAAAAGTTCCATTCTTCCAGGAAGTTACCCACGGGGCTGTAGCTATAATCCACACAATAAAGCTGAGGTTAGCAATAATACAGCTGGAAAACCCAGTCCTATCTTAAGATTCACTTCAGCGTCAAATCAGTAATTTCTCAGAAATTTTAGGCTATGTTTTTTAAACTATTATAAAACTAATTCATGTATATAATAGAAAAATGAGAACATGCAATTATTTAAAGAAATAGTAATTACTTTCAACATTTATGATTGATACCTCTTTCTAGGCTTTTGCTATTTGTTCATTTATTCATTCAATCCACAAATATTCATTGAGCGCCAGTGTATATGGACTCACTGAGGCATACACACAGACATTAAAAAATAACCAAAACTCTGGATGCGCTTCAATTATCCTTTTTGGCCAAATATTAAAAATTTCTGCATGATTTCTGCTATTCTGTGGCAGTTTGGATACAGGATACCTAAGTTCCTGGAAGAAAGACTTTCAGTCTGCTAGGAACAGGCCTAGTCTTCCTGCCATTGCTGGACTTCTTTGTCTCAGACATGGCCTCCAACTTCTAGTATAAAGATGCTCTTTATTAACAACCAAAAATATCTCAACAATAAAAACAAGTGAGGAGGGCCAGATAGTTAGCTCAGTGTGTAAGCACCTGCCTGGGAAGTATAAGGTCCTGAGTTCAGCCCCAGGTACCAAAAAACAAAAACAAAACAAACAGGTGGGAAATAGGGAACCCTGCTGGGAAGTGGGAATTGTGATCTATTTAAAAGACAAAGGAGATTCCAAGCAGTGAACCTCTTCTGCCAGCACAGGGAAATGAGGTAGCTCAAGCAGACACAGGGGTTAGAGTGGTCACACAGACAAGCATGACCTGACCAGGTTGTCTGACCCTCTGTCCCATCATCTCTCCTTCTCACACTTTGAAGACAAGTTTTATTATTTTGGAAAACACTGTACCAGAGTTATGATCTCAGAAGCCCTGACTATCAGCAACAAATGGATTTGCCCATCTTACTGACACTTTATGCTGAAGAATGCATTAATTGAGGCTTACCATAAAGAGGCCAGTGCAGAACCAATATTGGCCTCAAAGTTGAAACCAAAAACAATAATTGCCCCAGCTTTGACCATTCTTCTTCACAAAAGACAAAAGATCCCAAAGGGAAGGAGACCCAAGGGAAAGGGAGGTCCAGGAGTGGACTCTCGTAGATCGAATTCAAAAACGCCCTGCTCTGTTCTGCCCCAGACTTGACTATAATCTGGGAGAAGCACATCTTCTCTCTAGCTAGATAAATGTAAAGTACTTATAACAGGGTCTAGTATTTAAATAACAGCTTATCCTCTTCTCCAAGACCTCTTTTTCCTCATCTTTTCACCTTCCTTCCACGTTTCATTCAAAGAACTTTCATAGTAGGCTTTATGCATTCTGTCCTTGTTCTGGGAGCCCAACAATGCCAGTCTACCCTTCCACACACTGCAAGATATATTGATGATGCTTAGGCATTTGAAAAATTTAAATGAACTTGACACTAAAATTAGTGTCTAATTGTCAGTGATCCTCTTCAAGATGTTCCTCCACATTATACTGCTATGGCACAGAGGACAACTTGGATCACGGTTAATTTGGTGACTCAAAAGGCAATTAAAGTTCTTACTCTCATCCATTCAACAAATATTTATTAAATGCCTGGCATGTTCCAAGCCGTGGCAGAAACACCAGGATGAATCAGATATTGATCTTTCCTTAAAAGAAATTTCCATTCAAAATAGAGAAGAATCATATAGAGACTGCCTCTCCATTTTAATAACATTTTTGATTTATGTTATAGTAAGAACTTTTTTTAATGTGGTCAAAAGATGGTGCAGATTATATAGAAGCATGAGTAAAGAGCATTGTGAACCTGCAGTGGGAAGAAGTGGTTTCTGCTATAGTTAATACAAATGCGGAACACTTACCTTGAATTCAAGGCATTTATTTTTTTGTCTGGGAGATTTTGTTCATAAGAATTGCAATATAGGCCCAGCTTGTCACACATTCTGCTTTTATGCTGGGCAGCTCCAGTGCACACCCCACAACCCTCTCATCATTCCAGCAATGTATCTACACTGGATCCCATTCCTTGCTTCTTAAATTCTCATTCTGATCAAAATACCCCCATCATACATCCCTTGTTCTCCAAGGCCTCCGTATAGACTTTGGAAGAGAGACCACCAGCACGTGGGCTTTGTATATTTTCCACAAGGATCATCAAAAGTCAAGTAGATATTTACGCCATGTGTGTTAAAAGGTGTAGGCCACAGGACTGTGGGTACTTAGTCAGTGGTTACTGCAAATCAACAAGTTTTGACCAGCTTAATCACAAGAAAAACCTCAACTGGCTGACAACTACAAAAGTTAGCATGACTTTGATTTAGTCTTCACATTGAAATCTTTACAAATGGCATTGGTTGGAATTGTGCTGAGTACAATCTGCTCATGGAAACTGGGAGCCCTGACTGAGAAAGCCACAGAGCTTTGACAGCTGAATTTATCAAGCAGAAAAATAAACACTCTTAGATAAAGCACATCACAAATAAATAATGAGATTCACCTCATGTTTTTCGCATGCACATCACTTTGGAGCTGTCTTTCTGAGTTGCACCTGCGTCTTTGACAATACAACATCAGCTTACCTTGATGGCCTACCACACGACTTGGCTCACACAGTGTCTCACAAGGTGGGATTCTGAAAAGGTCAGCACTGTGCCAACCCACCTACAACCTCCTTTGAGGGAATCCACCCTGCCCACATTTGCTACTAAAGGGACAGGCCCAGGAAGCCACATGTGGTACCTAGTACCCCATCTTTTCTGGCCCTAGAGGATTGGCATCAGTCCAAGTACCTGAGCCAATAGTAAACATTCTTTATGCTGGTTGGAGAGGTATAAGATACCCTAAGAGATTGTCTGGGCCAATCAGATACTCTTTTGGGGTCCTGACCTTGAATCAAACAAGCAGCCATGAGTTAGTTGCTGTGCAATATGTTGCTTAATTATAGAAACCAAACAGCTCTGCACTCCTGCTGCTGAAGGTCAAGGAGACTCCTTGAATCTCAAACCGTCTCTAAGTCTTGGATTCCTTGAAGCCAAGATTTAATATGGTTCCTGTTTTTGGATTTCTATAGTCATTCCTTTATCATTAAAAATATGTATGTGACATGTTATAATAAGCTAACGGCTTTGTCTTAGGTTGGCATGAATAAATTTTTGATCTTTGCCCAAAAAAAGTCAGTTAAGCCTTAGGAAATGAAAATCTGGTCCCAAATGAACTCTTGGGCCATAAGGCCTTCTGGAGAAATTAAAAGAAGTGAGACAAACTAGCAATGTCTTAGCCATTACTGGGAAGACAATAGACACCAAAAAAAGAAAAAAAGAGAACTGAGAATCTTTGAAAATGATTTGGAAAGTTTGTGTGTGTGCCTCGCTGTTGCAAACGCAATGACTGTGGCATCAATACCATGAATGGAGAAGGCTGGGCCTCACCAAGGTGTCACTCATGAACAAAATCTCATTATTTTAACAACCAAACTTAAAATAGACTATGAGTGACTGCTGGTTATGAGATACGCTTGATGCACAGGAATCACAACCAATTGAAGCCAATTCACAAGAAAAACAGAATAATAATATTCGAAGTGGCTTCAAAAGCAGGTGCTAGATTAGGGTGTGTCTACGCACTTCTGGTTTTTGTTTCATTCAACTTTGGAAACTAAATGATGTACTCCCTACTAAGATATATATATATATATATATATATATATATATATATATTCCAAAATATTTCATGACTTGAAATTCAATACAATTTGGCCTCTATATAAATATCCCAATTTAGAAATTGAATTGATCCTGTGTTTGATCTACAAAGCCATTTCACTAGTTTAAAAAGTAAAATTTATAAAAGAAGCTTTCCTATTTATGTGGCTATCCCTCTGCCTGGGTGATAGGAATTATATCTCCCTGCTCAGGGAAGGCAGATGGTGAAGTGGACTTTGAAGACAGCCTGAGCTCAAATCTAGATTCTCTTTCCATGTAGATCCAAGTGACTGACTCCTCCAGATTCTTTCTTCCTAAAATGAGGATGATAATAATAGTATGTACTTTATAAAGTGTGGTAAGTATTAAATGATTTAAGGTCCATTCTTATTAAGAATAGTGTCTGGCCGATAAAAGTATCCTAAAAATATTTGCTAATATTACTTCATTTTTTTCATTGGACTCATAACATGCATTATTAAGCAAAACCTACTGAGTCCATGCAAATATTGTGCCGAGGGTATACTTTTACAATCTTGTTGAAAACCCAGAACAAGGAAGGTAGAAATTTTTCAGTTTTACACTTGCCCAAATGAGGTTTAACAGAAGTTAACTAGTTTGCTAAGGGCTGCCTCGCTACTAAGTAGTGAAGCCAGACCACATTAACTTATTAATTTATTCATTCAGTGTGTTTTCATTGAGTACTAGCTACAGACTATACTAGGTACCAGAATACTAGGAAGTTCAAACAATCAAAGTCCTTGCTCTCAGCCCAGCAGAGTGGTACATATCTATAATCCCAGTACTTAAGGAAGCTGAGGCAGGAGGATTCCAATTTCAAATCCTGCCTGGGAAATTAAGCAAGATCCTGTTTCAAACTAAAGAATAGTGGGCTAGGGATTTTGTTCAGTGCAAAGATCCCTAGTCAGAGAGAGAGAGAGAGAGAGAGAGAGAGAGAGAGAGAGAGAGAGAGAAAGAGAGAGAGATATCCTTAATCTTTTTTTGTTTTTTTAATTTTATTTAAAGAAAAAAAAGTAAAACAAAACAATAAAAGGGTACAAGTAATACAGAATTTCAAAAAAATAAACATTAAGAGATCACTAGTTAATAGATTACTTATTGCATCTTAGAAATAGTTGTTCAAGTTATAAAATTAAGCATACAAAGTGGACATTCAAACAGTGAGACTGCAAACAGTTGTGTTCAATGATCCAACTATAACTTAGTAATATGGTCATCTATCTTACACACCTAAACATACTTGCAGTTGTGTCGTTTAGAGCACTTTCTTTTCCTCTCTTTTTTACAATAACATTTTCACATTTTGGGTTTTATTACTCCCACAGTTCTTATTACTTAAGAGATCCTTAATCTTATAGAGGTTGCCCTCAGATGAGAGGAGACAACCAAAAGACGTCAGTAAAATATATAGTAGGTTATGAAATAGGTAAGCTAAGGAGAAAACTAACCAGGAGGAGGGAGAAGGAATGTGTACGCATGTGTGTGTCAAAGGCATGGAAATCAGAATGCAAGTGTTTCTAGAACTGATAACTAGGGAAGGTCTTGCTGAGAAGACATTTGAGATGAGACCCGAGAGAGGACAGAAATGTGCCATGGGAGTATCTAGGGCAAAATCTTCCAGGCATATAAAGTGTATACGCAAAGTCCCTGAGAGAAGCAGCACATTCCAGGACAGCAAAAAGTCCAGTATGGTCAAAGCCGAGAAAAGGGGAAAAACAATAGGAAATGAGGTCAAAGACGTGGCTGAATTAATACTTATTGAAGAAATCTCTCCCCGTGTCCCTGTTAACCTGGGTTCTGCTTCCACCAAGTCAACATGGAAGCCAATAAACAAGCCACCAAGGGAAGCAACTGCCTCTTGGAAAGGTCATATCATCTCCTAGCCTCTCCCAAAGAGAGCCAAGCTTGCTAGGCAGTCAGTTCCCGAGCCTGAGGAACCAGCTGGCTAGCACCGCCCCACCAGCTGTCTGGCAGCAGCCGTGATGTATGATCAAAACCCTTGCAGACCTCTCTGAGCTCATCATGGCACCTTCCAACGTAGGAGTTTCAATTCAAGGGCGTTTTGGGTTCCTTTCAGTGGCAGACTCAGAACCAGACCTACTCAAGTGTAAGAATGGGGCAGACACATTAATAGCCCAACCCCAGTGGGAGTTTTTATTTTCCACTTCCTCCTCCCCCATATTTATTTGTTTCTTCACCTCCTCTCAGTGGTAAAGGTGACCTGATATGAGATTTTCAGATGAAGCTTTAAAAGGTAGTGTGGGGGGGTAGCAGGATGTCACCGACATTGGAGTCAGCTTTTCTCCACACCTTTTGGAAATACTGGAGTTGGACTGCCTGCGTTCAAATCCTTATTCTAACCAGTTAAAAACCATGTGATCTTAGTCAAAATAGCTGTCTGAGCCCTAGTGTTCAACTTTTCAAACTGGGATGATGAAAATATCTGCTCCATAGTTTACCATGAGAATTAAAAAGAGGCACATTTCATAATTTAAACAAATGTAATGGCTCTTTCTCTTTTGGGGAATATTTTTAATATTAACAAGAAGGGAGTCATAACGAGAAGGGTGTTCCAGGACATTAAGAAGCAGATATCCATACAGTGTGGTGGCCTCTACATTTTTACTCACAGCCAGATTTGAGCATGTCTTGCATACTTCCATCTCTGTGTTGAAATTCCACCAATGTCCATCTGTGTGGTCCCAGCCTCCTAATCTGCTAAGCCTCTTGAGTTCATAGTATATTGTAACTGTACTTAATACCTTGCATGACAAGAAAAATGAAGAAGCTTTTCTTGCCTCATACAGTGTGGTGAGTAAAATGCTTGTAAATTCTCCAATAGGAACAAGAAGACAACAAGAAAGCAACCTTTCTAGATAAAGAGACGTTTTTGACAAGAAAATCTACAGGGAGTATATTTTTCCTCCTTCAGTATAATTTATCTTTTGGGAAAGGCCACATAGAATGCTGTTTAATGGCTACAACTTACTAACCTCTGTTTGCTTCTGCAGAAAGGGGAAAGGTCACTATGCAGCTTAGGTCAGAAAGTCTCTCGTGACTAGGATATAGCAAACAGCATCACTACTGGCAATATCAGGAATCAGAGAATAAATGATGTGTCCAGAATAGCTGCAGCATTTTATCAGAATGGCCTAAAATTTGCCTTAGGATCACTATAATTAAAAAAATGTGTTCTAGAAGTATACCTGTAACTCAGTGATTTATACAAATAGAGTAATATTTTCTCAATGGTTCAGATGACCATTTTAGAGATGATTTATCACAGTTCCTGATTATGTTTCAGTTGAAGAACCCCTTCAGATTATGATTTCAAATTGCTCTGACTCGACATTGCCACAGGCTCAATCTCAAATACAGTAGTTAAATAACCTGGACACAAACCCCTGAAGTGCACTTTATTAAAAAGTCGTATAAAGGATAGCCACTGGCAAGAAGGCTATAGTGTGGATAGCCATCCCAGACTTCTCAGGTTAAGATGTTCCAGAAGTTTCTGTTTGTTTGTTTTCTTGGTTTTTTTGTTTTGTCCTTTACAGTACTGGGGCTTTAACTCAAGGCTTTTGCACTTAGCTATATCCCCAGACTTTTTTTTTTTTTTTTTTTTTTTGAGACAGGTTTACACTAAGGGTTACACCAAGTTGCTCAGGCTGGACTCAAACTTGCAATCCTCTTGCCTCGGCCTCCCGAACTACTAACATTACAAGGTTGTGCCCCCATCTCCAGTTGGATGCCAGAATACTTTTCCAGAAAACAAAAGATCCACTTTTAGGTAGAGATCTACCAACATCAACCCTAGTTCTGCACCCAAAGACATGCCACCAAGAGACATGTTCAAGAATGTACGTGAGTACGCACACTTGGAAACAATTCAATGCCCAATAATAGTAGAAGAGGTGAATTATGCTTTAATCATTCAGCACCAAAATACTACTCAATTCATTTGCAATTAAGCAAATGAAAATAAGAAAATTATTATTATACACAATAACTTGAAGAAATCTCAAAATATGTTGAGCAAAAGAAACCAGACACAAAAACATATACCCTGTAAAAATCCCATTTATATGAGATTTCAAAGTAGCGGGAACTAATCTATAGAACAATGAGAACAGTGGTTGCCTGGTCTAGAGCAGGGGTGGGTACTATGAAACTGAAGGTCCTGGAGGAGTCCACAGAATCCTTGTCTGTTTTAGCTGTTGGATGGAGTGGTAGTCCCATAGGTATGTACCTATGAAAAATTTACCATCCATATACTTATTATTTGTGAATTTTATTCTGAATAAGAAATGCCTCAATTTTAAAAAGTATGAAATAAGCAAAAAATAGAAATACAGGTCAACTCACAATTGTACGTATTTACTGGATATAGTGTGATATTTTGATACATGTACAAAATATGCAGTGATTAAATCAGTATTAATTAGCATATCTATCACTTTAAACTTTTTTTTAAGAGCAGAATATATTTATTGAGAGAAAGAAAGCTTCTGTCTGGGGGAGAGACAAAAGGAGTCCTGAGTGGATTGCCAAAGATTCTGTCTTTTCTAAGGACTTTTATAGAGCAAAACCACGAGGTGAGATGGGTCCAAGATGGGGAAAACATGGGAACTTGCAAGCTAGGTAGGCATGAGATGGGACAGAACTATGGTCCGCCAGTAAGAATAATTGTTTAGGTACAATTGACCAAATCGGGGATAATTGGGAAGTGAGTCATGCAGCAAGAGGGCATGCTTAAAGAGCAGTGGCTCTTCCTGTAAAGGATTGGGATGGTGGCTCCTGGCTTCCTGAAGGTGTTCCATACCTATTTAGAGTATTAACCCTGATGTTTATACTTTAAACAGTTATAATTTCTGTTTTATCTAGTTCTTTTGATTCTATTCTAATCTCTTTATTTTATTCT